ACTCCTGACCAGAGCCCAATGAATTATGGCACAGATTCCATTGTGCTTTGCAGGAGCTAAAGCATTCCAGTCCCTGCTTTCTGTGCCAAGCAGAAGTGTGTGGAAATGTGCTAAATGATTTTTTTAAAATTTTTTTTCTGCAAGAAACAAAGGATTTTTATGTTGCTTGCCTCTACTGCTTTAACTGATAATTTCCAGGAGGAGATCTGATGTTGAGTGTATAAATTAGTGGCATTACAAGTTGATCAGCCCACACAGGAAAAAGTTTAATAGTGCATTTTAAGATACTAGGGGACCTACCGAGCCAGTAAGCCTCAGGGTGGATTTGTTTTTCCATTTCAGTCCTGCTTTCTCTGGTCATATACTTAGGCTCTTACACGTGTTAACTGCTGCAGTACTCTGAAGATCCCAACTAAAGCTTGTGTTCTGCTCTGTGCCAAGGCAGGTCTGAGGGAAATCACTGAGCCCAGAGTCTTGTGCATTTGGAGCAGTCAGCACATTGCAGTTTGGAGGGCCACATCATCACTGTTTAAGCTGGCTCACCCACTGCTGGAAATACCTTTGCAGAGTGAACTCTTCTTGGGATGGCTCCAATCCAGCCCTCATCAAAGCTGGTGGAATTGCTCACATTTTCTTAACCAAGATTGGGTCAAACCATCAACTTTAAAAAAAAAAATCTAGTTAACACTTAGCCAGAGTGACAGTGGACATTAATTTTTGGGTGGAAAGCAACTATCTTCCTGTAATACTGTGTTTTTCCTCTTTCTTCTTTCCTGCTGATGTGGCTTGGGGATAGCTGTTTGGTGACAGGTAGCAGTCAGAGTATGTGATGGTGAGGAGGAGAGCAGCCACCTGTGTGGATTGCTGGATGAGAAATGTGAGATGTTTTCTTTCCCCTATGCTTTTCAGTTATGGTAAAATGACATTTTCCTTTTCCTGTTAATGAATAATCAACAAAGGTTGAAAGCCTTAAGTTGCACAAAGGACTACAGACCGTAGATGCCTGGCTTTGCTGGTAAAGCTCTGCTTTCATTTCTGCTTTCTTTCTCAGAGATCTAGGAACCACCTCTGGCTGAGGTACTTTTCTAAGTCCTGGTAGTGGTTTTGAGTGGAAAAGTGCAGGGTGTCTGTAAACTGAGTTTCTCAGCTCTGAAACTGGATTGCAGATTGTCTGTGGTGCAAGGTTCTTACCTCAGAGGAAAATTGGTTGAGTGAGTTTAGAGAGCAGTTAAAGACTTCTTAAGACAGGAATCTACTTTTTGAGAAGGATGATTGAAGTTCAGTACTTTTTCTTTAACATTTCATACTTTTTTGTCTGGTAAAGCAGCAGTGGTCTCAAGTACAGGGTTCAGAATCAGTAAGTCTCATTTGACACCTGGAACTTAATTTAAAATAATAATAAAAACCGAAACACCACCTTTCCCCTTAAAAAAACCCTGCAAAAATCCCACCAGTTTGCTATTGCAGTGCAGATTCTGATGATTTTTGGTCAAATTGCCCATTTCAGGATTTCATTTACCAGCTACCATTTTTGGTCTTTTCTGATGAGTTTATCTCCTAGCAGCTACAATTTCTGCCTCTAAACTGTTACTTTGGCCATGGCTGGGTCACTGTACTCAGTCTCCCAGACTTCTGCCTGAAGTGAAAAGAGAGATGGATAGTTGCTTATAGACTAAATGGATGTTGTCTACTGACTGTGCCAAGTTATGTGTCATCTCTGCAGCAGAAGCCATTTTATAGGTCCAGACCTCAAATTTCAACTACTTTTTGTGCTTGTATCTTAATAGGTTTGAGTTGTTTGGTATGTTTTTCCCTGCAGTTATAGATTGATTGCTAGGGGTCAGTACTTCCCTTTTCTTCTGGAACTATTTTGTGTTTTCCTTTGCTAGATAATTGATGAGACCCTCTGAAGAAATCTGTATGATTTGGCAAGAGCAAGCTGCCTTCTTGTGTGGTTGTTCAGAGGATGTTTTACCCTCAGCTTAGACCTTGTGCTTTGGGCTTACATAATTTGTAAAATGCTTTCCTCCAGTACTGACACAGAGAGAAATTTTGGCAGTACTAGTGGACGTTTCATCTGTGAAGTCAGTACCAAGGCTTTAATCAGCCCTGAATTTTTGGGGTCAAGATACTGTACACAGATTCCTGCAGTTCTAAGTAATGTTGGATTTCTAGACTGAAGAGAGTACAAGGGAGTACTCTTGAGATGACCCTTTTTCGTTTTCCAGAATTTAGAAAAGCATTTTATTTTAATGTAATTGCAGGTAGCTCTTTAGATTATTTCTGAAGATGATTACCAGTTGATTTAATTTGACCAGAGTGGAAGTCCAGAAAGCTGTTAAATCAGTTTTGGAACAAAAGACAAAAAATACTTAGAGATGCTTACCGGGGTAAATAATGGGAAGATGAGGAAGAGTCAACCTTAAATCACTCAAGTACCTGATAGCTAATTCTTTTAAGACTGTTTAAAACTACTGTTCCTGGGGAATTCAGTATCCCTACAGGAAGGGACTACACTGGGATTTGAATGACTTAAATGATGCAAGGGATTTATTACTTCCTCCTCCCATCCCTTCTCTAGTGAGTGTAGCTTGTTTAGGACAGTTCTAATTTTTTTGGTGTGACTTTGTTGTTGGTGGTGGTTCTGAGGGATTTTTTTGAACATGAATGAGCCTGGCCAGAAGGACAAAACTCTGGTCTTTAGGATACAATGAGTTTTTCTTGTTGATCACTGTCTACAGTCCTAGGGTTATCCTCTCTGTGGAATTCAGATTTTTTTTCCCAGAGCCAAGATGAGAGCAGGAGACCAGGACAAGGGGATGCTGAGGTACAGGGGCTGTGACTGCAGAAGACAGTGGCTCTTAGGGTCTTAAAGAGCATGAAATGTCCTCCTGATTGGGAAATGCCCACCCTTTGGCATGGTTAAACCTGGTGGGACAGCAACTTGATAGATACTTCTTTGGGGAGGTGTGAACCCAGCTTTATCTTTCTCTGTGTGGCTGAGGTCAGGGCCTTCAGCCTTATCCCAGACCAGACTGATGGCTCCTGGGCTGTGGTAAGCTCCTGCTCTTCATTTTTAATGACAAGTCCCTTTCTTGTAAAGCCTGGCACAGGCTTCAGACAAAAATGCTGGTTTTGATGGATCAGCAGTTATCAGCAATGCCATTTTAACCATTGCTGATAACTCCATCTTAAGCATTGGTGATAACTCCATCTTGGGTGCCTTCAGATTCCTGCCGGTCAAACTGTGATGAGGAACGATAAATAGAAACTGGAACTAACTAGTGAAATGGGAACAATGGGTAGTAGAGTAGTGAGGAAATTAAAGCCTTGGAAAGCCCTGGTTTTAAAATCTCAGCTGATCCCTGCATTCAGCCTTAGGGTCAATACAATTCTCTTTGCCTAAAACCACATTTGTTTTAGGTTGAATACTTTCCATATGGCTCTGTGGCTGAGCTGGTTCCTTTTGTATCCTTCATCCCTTGCAACTCTCTATTTTAATTGCAGATGAAAGCTGCAGCTTTGACTGGGGAAGCAGAGCTGTTGGGCTGCAGTGTTCTTCCCAGAAGATACAGGGCTGCTGAGAGAAATCCAGCACAGTGTGCTTCCACTGCAGCCTAGAAAACTGCAGGCACCTGGGAGAGCATGGCTGGTTGAGGGGAGATGTTACTCCCCTCAGCCAGGGCTGGGACACTCAGGAGAAGTGTTGAGATCTGGGCATGTAGAGGCTACCAGTGGCACATGGGCTCCAGTGAGAGCCTAAGGGAGCGGGGCTGGCCAAGTCTGACAAACAGGAGGACAGGGAAACATCTCTCAGCAGCCAGCTGCTCCTGGATGGGAGGCTGCAAGAAAGTCACTTTTTGGTGGGAGCAAAGCACATGTACTGCTGTAACACTGTGCAGGTAGCTGTTTGGGAGGCTTGGGTTGGACATGAGGAAAATGTATGAGAAATTGTGTGGCCAGCAGGACCAGGAAAGGGATCATACCCCTGTACTTGGACTGGTGATACTTCCAGTTTTGGGCCCCTCACTACAAGAAAGATATTGAGGTGCTAGAGGAAGTCCAGAGAAAGGCAACAAGGCTGGGAAGGATCTGGAGCACAGGTCTTAGAAAGAAACGTTGTGGGAACAGGAGTTGTTGTCAGCCTGGAGAAAAGGTCTCAGGGGACACCTTGTTAATCTCTACAACTGCTTGAAAGAAGGTTGTAGCATGGTGAGAGTCAGTCTCTTCTCCCATCTTTCAGGTGACAGAACAAAAGGAAATGGTCTCATGTTGCCCAAGAGGTTTAGATTGGATACTAGGGATTTTTTTTCACTGAAAGATCTTTCAAGATTTGCATCAGTGCCACTTCTTATAAAAACGCTGCTAACTTGTCAGCAAATGATAAAAGATACCCAACTTGCATTAAGTACCTTTTACAGTGCTCAAGGGATCATATAATGGGAGTTTGGGAAGTCAGGAGTTGAGGCAGAGCAGACATTTTAGGTATGAGTCTGTTTGCGAGCAGAACCATTGGGGAAACCCATTTCTCCATGGTTTTAGGAGAAAAGAACCTGGTTTAAAGAGTAAAACTGTTCTGTGCTTCATTGTACACTTAACTTTAGCTCTTCCCCAAAAGTAATGTACCGGTGTGCCTGAACTAGGGAAAGGGGGTTTAAAGAAGGAAAAGGAAAGGAAAGCTACAAGACAACCCCAGTTTCTGGCAGGAGTCCTTGTATTATGATATGTTTTCACTTTCAAGGTCTTGCACCAGTCTGTCTGAAGGGCCTGGGAAAAAACACTTGCTGAGTATTGTAAATCCTGCTTGGAAAGCTTGTTGTTACTCCAATTTGGTTTTACAGGAAAAAAAAAAAAAGCTATAAAATCATGCCCTTTATTCTGATCTTTACAGATGTGCTTGCAACAGACATATGTTGACTGATGTGAGTGTCATGTGCTTCATAGTAACTGTCATGGGGTTTGTGTGTGTGTTTGTTTATTTTGTGTGTCTTTGGCATAAGACATGCCAAGCAGACCTCTGAGAGTGCGAGCCCAGTCTCCAGATGGCAAGTTACCTTTTCGGTGGAAACCGCCTTATGGAGCAGGCTTCAGAGGTCCACGCAGCAGATCCCAAGGTTATCCCCGTGGATATGGAGAAAGCAGCCGAAGGATGAGCTATGCCCCGATGCCACAAGAGCGACAAAACCAGGAAGCAAGAAAACTAGGTGAGTCAAATTTCCCTGATAGTGCCTGGCTGAGGTAGCACACTTCTGTAGTCCCCTGTGGCTGCTAGGTGTGCGCATGTCACATGCTGTCCTAGCTATCAAAAACCCTTCTTCCTATAAATTAAAATACTTGTTATAATTGTGTTCTGTATCTTAGCAGAGGGAGGGCATTACACAGAGAATAGGGTAGAAATTGTAGGAGAACTTGATGCTGTTTCAAAAAGACACCATGTGCAAGTTTGTCATATTAACAGCAGAGGGAAAGGGTGGAGAGAAGAGCCATAGCTCAGATTCTGCCTGCATGTGGTGGGACCACTCTGAAATCCAATCCTTCTTTTAAATGAAAAAGGTTACATGAAACCTTCTGTTTTTCCCTGCATGCACAGCCTCTGAATCAGTTCACGTGGTTTCGCTGCCATCAAGGAGCTCACAAGGACGGAGCCAACCTGTGTATAGGTCATCTTTAACTAAAAGAAAAGTCACAGGTACGTTTCTTTCACATCTACTGTCAATGAGTGGAGATAATTGGATGCGGAGATAGCTTTGTGATTTTTGCACTGGAAGTCTTTTGGTGCTGGAGCTACTAGGTATTTCATTGTGTGGTAAAGAGCTTGATGGATATCTCTAATTCTTTAATTCAAGCAGGATTAATAAAATAATACAACTTTGTAACATGGTTGGTTGAGTTTCTGAGGTCTCGTTTGTTTGTTTGGTTTTTTCTTTAATCTCTTCCTCTCTATCTACTGACAAATGTTATGCATTGCAGTACCTGCTTGAGAAGACTTGACTAAATCAAAGCCAGGACCCCCAAAATGATATGCCTTCTTTTTCCCAGATCTATAACCTGTTTTCTGAAGGGTTGATTACCAGAAGCGTCAACCTGGTCAGCAGAACTTTTCACTTTCTTTTGGAAAGAAGTTATTACATGCTGTTGACAAAGTTGAAAATGATGAGTGAGATTCTGAGTCATCTCCATGCCGGTGTGCTTTTTTACCCCTTCATATTGTGATGTGAATGGCATGGGAATGGCAAAGTGTCTAGGAGATTTTGATGGTGATGAACACCTGTGCCAAAACTGAGAATTGTGGCTGAACTGTGTTGACATCCCATTTAACACCTTTTCTGGAAAGTTGATGCTCACCCATTTCACATGCTCACTTTCTTTCTCCAGATTTCTTCCCATTGCAAAACTTTGTAAATGGGCCCCCTAACCTACTTGTGGGTAGTAGATGGGTCCTCTTGGCCATTATTGTATGGTAGCTGTTTGGCTTGGAAAGCCTGGAACTGTCAGAAAACGCTCTGTGTTAGAAACCTGTTTGGAAGAGGGGAAATGTGCCTCCCTGCTGCGTGCCATCTGTGCAGGCAGTGCTGGTTTTTGGGCTAATGTGACACTTGCTGAAGAGAAGGGCAATCTCTCCTTGAATTTCAGTCATATATGAGTAAGATCCCTAGAGAATGAGATCATCCTCCAGAGTTTACTGGCTCCTTTCCTTTCCTGAGACATCAATATTTTTTCCAATGTTACTTGTCTATAAAACTCTGTCTGGAAGGTCATGCCTTGTACATTCTGTGCCTTTGGGAGACTTGGAAATTGTTACTATTATAGTAGTAAGGAAAAGCAATAAATCTTTCATTGGCTAGTAGATGGACTAGACTAAAACAACTCTGATTGACAGATAGAAAAGGGAACCTTATAAAAATTCGAAAATTCAAAATATCAAATTAGTTTCACTTAATTTTAAAATTTTGTGAATTATTTTCAGAAGGTACTCTGATATGTCAAAACAGCTCACTTCAATGATTTTTTCTTTTCTTTTTTCTTGTATACCATAAAAAAAATAAAAGCTGAATTCAAACAACTTGTTTGAAGCACTCAAAAACATAAACTATATACTAATTTTCCCTTGTAAATTTTTTTTGAAGAAGGTTTTATTGCCCTTCAAAATGAAACCTGATTTTAAAATCTCAGAATTTTCTTTGAGACAAAAATTCTGCTCTCCAGGTACCTCTAGCAGCACATTTGCCAGAGATGATGAATATTAGTACATTAATATAACATTTGCTGTGAGTAACAGTTTGGGGGTTAGTAGAATTTTGAAGGACTGGAGAATGTATTAGTACTGTGGTCTTGCAGACACACAGCTAAAAAAAGGAATTATCTTTCCATGAAATACCATCAGTAATCAATGTAATTAGTTTTCCACTCCCACCTGTATTTCCAGATCAACTGTGATGTGTGAATTTTATAGTGTCAGTTGAAGATATTTGCTGGTTTTTATGAGAACTCCAATGTTGTTAGTGATATGCTGTTCTGTTTTGCCATTTCAGAGGAGGAGGAGGTGGAGGTGGCACAAGACATAACTGTTCGAGTTATGTCCTCTCAGTCTGTGCTTGTTACTTGGACAGACCCACTGTATGAAAAGAGGAAGGTTGCAGCAAATAGGTACTTAGCCCTGGGTTATTTAAATGGGTGTTGGAGGGGAACTGCTGCCAATGCTCTACTGAATGCTTTTGCATTTATTTAATTGCTGTTGGTCATGAGAATAATTTAGCTTGCCTCCTAGTGCCCTGCTCATTAGCATTTAGAGATCTGTATGAGTGTTGTACTACAGGGGTTTACATCTCTTCTGAAATGATGCCAGCACCAGCTCGGGTATTTGGCTGTTCCAGTGTTGGTATGCCACTACAACCAGCAAATCCCCAAAGATGCATGGGGAAAGAAGGAGTGGGGAACAAGGCAGAGCCCACAGAGGTGAGGTGTTGAGTTGAGTTGTCAAAACAGACTAAGCTTTGAGATGACCATACTGTGGGTGGAGGAACCATCACTGCAGTGGGAAAGACACCCATCATTGCACCCTGCATCCTCTGACCTCCTAGAAGCTCCATGCAGCTGAGGCTGAACAGGCTGGGGCTCCTGTGAGTGAGAACTTGGCTTGTGGCAGCATGCTGCAGCAGTTGGAGACCAAAACAAACAAGGAAATAGGCTGGAAACTGCCAAAGATCTGAAAGTACTGGGTTGTGTTGCTCAGCCTGGGAACACTGAAGAGCTGTGCAAACTGGTGCTGAAATACCCTGAGAGTCAGGGCAGGAAAGCTTGCAGTTTTAGATGTTCTATATTTCTTTGTGGAAGCAGTTATCTAGGCAGACAGGTGGGAACTGAGTCACTGATGCTGTTGTGGGAGCAAGGGCCTGCCAGCAATCCAGCCATGCTCATGGCCACGAGGCAGTGAGATGGTGGTGTGGAACCCCCAAGGATGCCTGCCTCAGTTCACAAAATCCTGCAGCTTTCCCCCAGGGAAGAGGGTGTTTTGAGTCTTGAAAGAGCGGTCCATCCTTTGGGATGAAAACAATCATACTCCATTAGAGGAAGGAAAAAATACAGTGGGTTTTGTTGTTGGTACTTTGTTGTTTGCATTTCAATAGGTTCCTCCCTAAGCCCCACAAGGCTACTTGAAGTCAAAGCATCCCTGTCCCACTCTGGTTCTGCTAATGCTAAGCTTTCACATGTGAACTTCTATTTTCCTGTGTTTCTGATGCCAGGCAGTATAATGTTCGCTATCGGGAAAAGGGGGAATCGGCAAGGTGGGATTACAAGCAGGTGTCCAACCGGCGGGCACTGGTGGAGAACCTAGTGCCAGACACTATGTACGAGTTTGCCATCCAAATCTTGGAGGGAGAAAAGGAAGGCAAATGGAGTGTGTCTGTTTACCAGCGGACCCCAGAGGCAGGTATGCATTCAAAGGGTCATTGGGGTAACACAAAGTTGTAGGGTTTGAGCTGTGGAATAGGGCTGACTTAAGGCCAGAACGAGCCAAGTGATTGATTGGGGCAGCAGAGGGTTGAGAGTATGGGAAAGGCCTCAGTGCTGCTGCCTGCATCCCTGTGGTGGTGAAGCACACCAGGGGAACACACCCAAGTGCTCATGTGGTACAAGGAAAGCAAGGGGAGGTGGCTTAGGTATTTTTGTAGGATGGGTCCTTGGACCCCTACAGCTAGATGTGCCCCTTCCTTTGAGAAGAGTAACCTGGCTTCCATTCCTTTCTGTGGAGAGCAAATTTAAATCCTCCCTCCTCCGTGGAGAAGCTGTCAAGCCCCTTTGGTACAGGGAAGTGGTCCATAACAACCAAATTACTGTCTCATTCCAGATAAGCCACAATAGCAGTCTTGTGCAGAACTCCTGTTCTTAAAAATATGGAATAAAATTTCACTATGGCAGTCTGAGAGAGAGATGTGACAGAAACAAGCATGGACCTGAGCCATGTGTACTCTTCATGTTTATCTTGGAAGTAGCTGTATAGGAATCTCTGCTATGGAGCAAAAGGTGTAGGCTGTTGTTCTGACTTGCTCCTTTTGCGTATGGCTGCTTCCCAGCTCCTGCCAGTGCACCTGAAAATTTGGATGTTTGGCCATTAAAGGGGAAGCCAACCTCTGTAGCAGCATCCTGGGATGCTCTTCCAGAGAGCGAAGGAAAAGTCAAAGGTGAGTCTTCACTGTTGCTTTCTAACTCCCTCAAGGATCTGGTGTTCTCAAAGGCAGCTGCTGTCCTGCAGTAAGCTGGAACTTGGCTGTGCCAGGATTCATTCACTTGATTAAACCCAAGCAAGATTTTCATGTTTCCAGCCCAGTGTCTCTACAGTGCCACCAAGAAGCCACCATCACTGTCTGCCTGGGATATCACAGAGGTTCCTGGGGTATCATGCATGCACACTTTATCTCTTCTTCCATTAATAGGCAGGTCAAAAATGAGGCTTGAGAAGGAAGTTTCCAGAAAGATTTTTAAGAATTAGTTGAAGAGGAAAAAATGTTGGGGAGTTGCCAAGAAAGTGAGTGGGTTTATGTTGTGTTTTATTTCTAGTTTGTCATGGAAGGAAATCCTCAGCTTAAGAAGCAAGCACAAATCTGATTTCAGCAGACATCATGCATAAATCTTGTGTACTATAGTGTTATTGTACACAGTCATAAACATAATTTGCCAGTTGGCTAAGTTTTGCATAGAATTAAAGAAAAAGAAAAAGCTCTTTCTGGGATTTTTTTTTCCCTGTTTCCCTCTGAAAACGAGGCTGATTTTTTATCCTCTTATTCTTCAGTGGTTAACAGGATTGTGTTCTCAAATTACACAAGTTTTTGGAGGTCCCTTATCACCACTGCAGCATCTCAGGACTTGAAAAATCGTTGGCCTGGAGGGAGGTACACCGTGTCTGGAAGACCTACTTTATGTATTCTTCAGGGCAGTGGTGGAATTCCTTCTTTTTTTGAAGTCAGTAGAAGTCATGCCAATTGCTTCAATGGAGCTGCAGTTGTGTCCAAGAATCATTATTTCTGTAAGAAGGGTCATGCAAGGACATTATCTTATATTTCAAGTCTGCTCCTAATTTTGACCAATCTGTAGCACTTTGTGCAGTTTTGTCTGCATTGTTATTAGATTATTCATCCAAGGCAATCATTTTAAAGATACCTAATATTCAAGGGCTGAATGCTTACACACATCTAACATATCATTGTTTGAGTATGAAGTGTTACAAGAGAGGTCTTATTTTTAAACTAAATAAATGACAAGATATTTTTATTGGCTAACTAAAATCATGGCATTAGCATTTTGTGGTCATTTTGATAGCTTGTGGTAATCAGGAATTTTTGTCTTTTGATCCTTTTGTTTTTCACCCTGTCCTTTTATGTATTTATACCATGTATAAAAATAATGGGGGAAAATGTTCTCCAGTAGCCATTTGATAGTTATCAGAAGCTGCACCAATGTCTCTGCCATGAAAGCAACTCCTGTGTAAAAAAAAAAGGAAAGAAGTTTCAAACAAAAAAAATTCATGCCTTCTGATACCTTGGTTTGTTTTTCAATGAAGCATTAAATGCATTTGCATATAAAATATTGATGATTCTTTCCTTGATTTTGATGGACTGTGCATGGCTTATTTCTTAACACAAGGAATATGGACTCACTTTCAAGAAAAAAATCAATGCCATTATGTTTTAGAGTTTTCTCATTGTGGCACCGTGGCCCCTCAGGTATTATTGTGGGGTTTTGTGTAGAGAGAGAAAGATGGAAGCCCATAAAATTTATTATCAAAACCCTGGTTTTGTCTGATACCTGTGCCTCTTACAGAGGATTTGAAAAGAAAACAGCTTGCACGTGTCTGAGGTCTCACCTACACTCCTTGGGAATATAATGGAAAGATTTCTCTTTGTGCCCAGAATTGTTCCTATAGGGGTAAAATTTCTCTCAATGCAGAAAGCTAAGGCAGAGCACAGGTATCACAGTAATTCAAAACTCAAAGGTGAGAGCAGGGTGAGCTTCAAAGTGGTGACCAGACCTTGCTTTGCTCTGTCTGCTGTGGTGTTTGGCCATAGCTCTGGTTAAGCACAGTGTGTCATATTTTGATTTTGTTGGACAGACATGATGTTGCTACCATTTGGCAAATCTGCAGTGCTGATATTTTCTGGTAGAAGTATCTCTTCTAAATAAGAACAAATATTCAACTTAACCTACATATATACATGTATCTCTCTCTCATGTCTTTATACTCCAGCTGTTGACTCGGCGTGCATTGCTAGTGTATTAATTTTAGTAATGCACGTTCTAATTCATCCTACCCATACAGTCTGTCCGCTGGAAACAGGACTGTTTTCAGTTTCCTCCTTCCAACCGTCTGCCAAATCATTTCAGAATACATTCTTTCATACGCCCCGGCTCTCAAGCCATTTGGAGCAAAGTCCATCACCTACTCTGGAGCTACAACATCAGCCATAATAGACGGTCTGCAGGCTGGGGAGCGCTATATTTTCAAAATTCGTGCAGCAAACAGGAGGGGACCGGGTCCTCAGTCAAAAGCCTTCAGTGTCGCCATCCCAGCAGGTGAGCACCAAGCCATGAACCAATGCTGTAGTTCACTCACTCCTGCCTTGGTCCCAGCTGTGTCAATTCTTACTGACTCAACTCCTCTGCACTCTGTCTGACCCACGGGATTTCACTTCCTTAATATTGTTTCTGCTTGCTCTTTTCATCATTATATTGTCCAAATAAGTATTTGCCACTCTGCAGCATGCAAAAGGACATTTTTATGGACATTTTAGCCTCTTAAATAAATGCATGCCATAATCTATGACAATATTATGTGCTCTTGTTATCCAAAGGCCAAAAAATGTAATGCTTTGGGTTTTTGGCTGCTCTGTTCCTGATAGCTCTCACTCTTGAACGTCACTTAGTGTCTTACTTGGATACTACTCCTTGTATTTGGCTCTTGCCAAAAAGTTACTCTTGTTGGGTCAGAATATTTGCTGGGTTAGGTAAAAAGGTGGGACACAGCCTTACATGGGATAGTACAGCGCCATACCACCAACATGACTAAATTTTGCTGAAGGTTTGGTTCCCTTGAAAGGGTGTTGCAGTCCCTGATTTTAGATATTTGATATTAATTGGTCTAAGTTTTATCCAAGCTACAGTAATTCCACATGGATACCTTCCTACAACCCAAAACTTATCTTGGCTGGACTCCACAGCCTGGTTAATACAGAAATAATTATTGTCTCGTATTCTCATAAGTTGTTGTGTTATTGCTACCTGGGAGATTTCTGCTTTTGGTCAGTTTTTGTGAATCTTCTATTGTTGTAAATAAACACTTTTCTTTTTACCCCTAGCTGCTCAGGAGGATTCAGTCGCTCAGCAAAAGACAAATATTCAAAATAATTCAGAGGCTAAAAGGACTGGGAATGCTAGCTTATCTCCTCCTCAAAGTTCTTCTGTTTCTTCAAAAGCCCAGCTGTCACCTTCTTCTAAGCAGCTGTCTGTTCATTCACCTGCTGTTAGTGATAAAAAGAATCTTCTTTCTGAATATAAGAATAAAATCTTGACTCGAGGGGTCCTAAGTAAATCCCAGTTACCTTCTAGAAGGACAGGAGAGCTGGAACCTGACCTCCAATCCACTGAGGTGACAGATGATAGCGATTCCTCCCAGGAAGCTACAGCGTCACCGCCAAAAGCCCAGGACCAGAGAAGGAATGTTAAACCCTTGTCCCCTAGTCGGCCAGTCTATCCTGTCCTTGCCTCAGGGAGGACATCTGTTCGAGCCCACACATCTGAGATGTCAAGCCAGACGAGCACAGAGAAACGTGAGCCACCAGCACTGTTACCATCATCAGTACAACAGTCTTCTGCCTCGTCCGTTCCCAGATACACAGATAATGAAACAAAGCAATTGAGGCAAAGCAACAACAATGTGCCTTCTAAGACCTCTTCCCATCCTCTGCCCTCCAGAAATAATGGCCTTGCGAGTAATGTGGAAGCGAAGCCTGACCCCATGCTGGTGAAAGTGTCTTCTAAAACTTCAGAGCCTGGTCACCAGGCCTTGCCATCAAATCGGCAGTCTGCTGTCTCTCATGAGGGTGTCTTGGGCCATCAAAGTAGGTCAGGCTCTCTAGGTCATTCACATCAAGCTGCTTCCAAATCAACAGATTCCCATGCTCATGACACCCATAATGAGTTTGACAGTGAAGAAGCAGAGGACAGAGCAAGACAGCCCAGTTCTAGGTCACAGCAAACAAGGCTATCCTCAGGCTCCAGTTCCCACGCATGGAAGGATTCAAAATCAGCTGTGGTGGCAGTCTCATCAAGGTCTGCTGTTCCTGGTTACACTTCACCTCACTCTCGCTCCTCCACCAATGCCAAATCCAAGGGAAAGGATGTTGATAAGAATTATAGGGAAGACTCACAAGATGAAAACCCCTTATTTCCTTCTTTGCCCTCTTCCAGGCAGTCTTCTTCAGCAATCTATTCCAAGAGAAGAAATCCTCAGGTCAATTCCAATTCTCACCCCAGAGACACACATGGTGAAAAATCACCCCACTCTGACTCAGAAGAACAACAAAGTCAAACAGCTGCTCCAGAAAAGCATTCTCTTTTGCAGTCTTCTCTTTCCAAATACAAACCTGAAGAGCAGGGCAATCGAGAGGTAAAAGAAATGCTTGCTCGCTCAAAACCAAGAGAATTTTTGCCTAGAAAGACATTATCTTCTCATCTTCCAGTGGAGAAGACCTCCCACTCAGAGCCTCCACAGAGGTCACAAACCAGTCCTTCCATACTGCATTCAAGGGGCCGGCGCCTCCCATCTCACGTCTCATCCCAAAGTAATGAAGAATTACAGGAAGATGATGATGAGGATGGAACAGAGGGCAGTGACAGAGCAAGCAGGCGCTCTGTGTTTCTTAAAGAGGTGTCCTCTTCTAGGGGATTATCTGCATCTTTCTCTCAGGGAAGCTCAAGCTCATCTCAATCAAAGCAGCAGCATCCAGGTTCTCAGGTACATTCCAACAAACCAAAACATACTGTGCCAGACTCCAGTTCTGCCAGTGATACAGAAAAAGGCAACCACTATAATCAGAGGTTGTCACCCACTTCGAGACAAGCTCGTCCTTCACTACCTGCTCGCTCAGGAGCTGCTACAAGAACAGCGTCCCAAACAGAGAAAAAATACGGCCTGTTACCCTCAAAACTGTCTAACACTGAACTTCCTCAAAAAGTTCCTTCCCCCTCTTCATCTAAATCTCATCAGTCAGTTTCTAATGAAGAAGATGATTATTACAGTGAATATGACCAGAAAGAAATGGAAGAGAAACCCACATCTTTGGCAGCAAAACGGTCCCCTTCTCTTTCTAGAGGTAGCAAAAACGTATATGAAGACACTGCTAACAATAAAAGAAAATCTACGGACACTCTTCTACTTCACAAAGTAAGTTCTGAAGAAGAGATGGGAAAACCTTCTATATTAAAATTGTCTTCTCCAGAATCACCAAGAAGCTCTGCCGTAGCATCACAGATTACTCAGTCCTCAATCAAACATACCCCATCTAAACCAAACTTTGTCTGGCCACGTTCTTCTGCATCTACCACCACACACACCATTTCTCCAGCAGTTTCTTCCACTTCATCTCCTCGTCAGCGACTACTGAACTCCAGGCTAGGAAGCCCTTCTCAGCGGCAATTTGTTAGACCTCCTTATAGATCAGGTATCCTGCCTTTATTGTACTAATGTCATTAATTGTGTTTTTCCCAAGATCAGCAGTTAGATGAAAAGTCCTCCAGCAGGATGCAGGTTCAGTTACTTAGTATAATGTGTTGCTTTTTATTTTGGTGGTTTCTGGGAAGCCCAGTCCTTGAGGACATTGCCTATTTGGTGTAATGTGGTGCCCCAAGCCCTTTCTCCTGTAGTCTGATCTGCATGGGATCCCATGATCCACAGAGAGGGTGACAGAGTTAGGTGCTAAATTGGAAAAGTTCCTTATCAAGAAATGACTTCACCAAATGCTCATTGAAAGCCCATTTGTACTCAGAATATGACAACCTCTCAGGTATGTAGCTCTTCATCGTGAATTGCAAAAAGGCCTTTGTAGGTTCCAAAGTTGCCCATGCCTAGTGAGGTGTTTCTTCATGATGCCCTGGCATTCCACGTTTTCTTTGATGAGTTTTTAAGCCACTTTCCTCTTTTTTCTGAGCGACAGCTCGGGGTTGCCCATACCTGTTGAGGACTGCACCCATCACAGCCAGGCCATCTAATACCTTTATGGCTGTGATTTACCCCCAAAGTTAGAGACTTGCTTTCTGACAGAATATCTGTGGACCTGGGTAGTAGAATAGAAGGTCCACTACACATCAAGGTATTGATTCCTCATGTCACCTATGGAAAATCCCTGACAGCCTCAGTGACTTGGCTAGGTAGAAATACCTTTTCTCCCTCCAATGCATGGACATTCAAAATAATATTTAGTGACCTGGGTGTTTTAGTAAATACCTTCTGTGTTATCTGTAGATAGTAATGTTTTGTTTTAAGTGGCCTCACTGTTACACAATGAGGACTGTGCAGCTGGGCTGTTGCATCTGATATACTTTAGTCAGACTCTGTGTTGTGTAGAGGTTCACCAGATTAAAGAGCTTTATGATGGGAGTAGACCTTGAATAATACCATGGGGGATGAGATGTATGGCATGAAAAAAATAACAGATTTCTGTATGGAGGTTATTTAAGGTTACTACTAGCAATGCAATTGTAAAGTTATAGTTCACAAGTATTCAGTTAATTTTTTTCCAGTCTATATTTTTTTCCTATTGTATTTTTCTGAAAGCATGTCTCTGAGAAAAGATGAAAATTGCTGCCCTTTCAGAGCTGGGGGGCCTACAGCTCAGTGCTACTGCTTGTCCGCTTGCAACCTGAGTGTGCTTCTGTTTAGCAGTGGTTTTTCAGCTAGAGAAGGAGATTCCTTCCTTTTCCAGGTTAAGAAAAATAGGTATAGAGAAAACTCCCATTCTCTCTCCTTTCAGTTTGTCACACTACAGCTTTGTATAAGGATAGGATTGCACAAGGGTTGTGTTTAATAATGGTTTCTTCCTCCATCCCATTTCTGAAATGCTTACAAAGATGACAAACATTTTAATGACTGTAGTGCCATGAAGAAATGTTGCCCTGCTTTCTTAAAAAAAAAATAGAGGGAATAGAGAGACCAAATAAACAAATTACAGAGATGAATAATGAGTGTTTAACCTCTTCAGAAAAAGCAATTTCAAATTCTTGTATCAGCTGCAAAAATCTGACAGTGTCACAGCAATTGCTCCAGGAAGAAATGGAGTGCCTGGTTTGTGGAGTATGGTGAGGCCTCTTTCTGTTCTTGTTTATATTCAGATCAGCCAGAAAATGTATTTACTTGCAATTTAAAATATGGCTTGTAGATTGCACAGCTTTCTTCAGAATAGTGTTTTCTTCCCTGTTTCAGGTTATAATGGCAGACCAAATCTTACAACAAAAAATGGAAATGGAAAAGTAATCCCCGGTAATAATGGAAAACCAAGTGGACAGAAAGTAATCAATGGCCCTCAAGGAGCAAAGTGGGTAGGGTGACCTTCTCTTTAAATTCAAGATGTTTTGACCTTTTATTTTACTTGTATTTTCATTAAGAAAAGACAGGCAAGCAGTGTCCTTAGTCAATGCAGCTGTAATGTGAAGCTATGCTTAGTGGTTTACTTTCCACTCTTCCACTGAAATCTAATGACAAATTTTGGGTTTTAACATTTTAAATTTAAAGCCTGATGGGTTGAATTTTAAACTATAACATTACTCCTGTAAAATTTAGAGAAGCATTCTATCGTCAGAGTCAGTGAGATTTGTGCTCCCCAGTGACTCAGAGAGTCTTGACACAGTGGGCTCTTGTCTGCTGTGCAGAGTGAGTGGAGACTGCCTGGGATAGGTGCTGTGAAAGATGTGTTCAGCAATGCTTCTCCCAGACTCGTGCTCCAGGTAGAAGCTCCTGAGCAAGACTTCTGAACAAAAAGTGACTCCATAACTGTCACGATGCTTTGAATGCACTTATGTAGTTTTCGCCACTCTTACAGACGTGTTTCCAGAGGTATATGCAGAAGAGCTCAGATGCCATTGATAGGACAGCCCCACAAACTGCATATATGTCCACACCTTGTCTTTTGAAATCCTTTACATTGAGTTTTTAACCAAGGAAAGTAAGGGAAGGACCTGGTACTTCCTGCATGTTTTCCCAAGTGCTGAGCAGTAGGAGTCTGTGATCAGCCTCCCTGGCATAAGTAGAGTTGCTTGCACATGGCATGACACATAATGACATTTATTTTATGGCCTCTTCAATGGTGCCATTTTCATTAAAGGAACATTGAAAGGTGCATTAGGTGTGTCATATTCAAGGGAGGCATTTTGAAAAGCCTGCCCAAAGTCCTTCAAATGGACTCCAGAAAGTGGGCTAGAAAAGTCCTTGGAAGGCCGTGGGGCATTTCTCTGCCTCTCGAGGGGAAGGCATTGCTGCAAGCAGGATGAACACCTTGTAAAGAAAGAGGATCTATGCCAAATCTGGGGCCTGGAGGGCTTCATAGACTGATCTCATCATTCGCTGTCCTTCCTGTTGCCGTCTTCCTTAGCACCAGATCTAAGTCTGTCTTGCCAACCTGGAATTGATGTTTCTGTCCCTTTTGCTGGTTTTTGACTCAGTGTCTGTTACCTCAGGTTAAAACAGCATACAGTTCAGCTGTTTGGGGTTGAAATAGCAACAAGGACTGAATTTTAATTGCACTTAGCTCTGGAATTCAGTCCAAGCTCTCAGACATATTTGCTTTATGTGACAGAGGCTTTTCTTCAGTCTCCTACCCCAATTAAAATCTTAGCTACTTTGTTTTCACTGCTGTTTCAATATAAAGTAACTAGTCTAATATTTAGGGTTTTTTTTTTTTTAGTTAGACATAATTCTAAATCCCATTTTCAAAATGACTCAGCTCATCGTAGTGAAATCAGTATTACAGGAATTCACCTTAACTGTCACACAGCCCAAGAAAATCAAGGGATTTGCTCATTTGCAGAGCTACAGTAGGTGATAAGAATTTGGCTGTGCAGCTCTGGAGCCCAGTTCCTGGGAGTCTGCTCTCTTCAGCAATGATATCTCAGTAATTACTATACACTTAGTTAGTTTTAAAAGTTCAAGTGTGTTGTAGCTGTTCCTGAACATCACACTTACTGTCTGAATTTCCCCAGGATTCCTGTTGTTGTGAAATATAATTTCACCTCCTCTTGGGTTAGCTAAACTTGAGTCCATCTATTGCTTTTAGATTGTAGATCTTGACCGAGGGCTAGTGTTAAATGCTGAAGGAAAATACCTTCAAGACTCCCAAGGCAACCCTCTCCGAGTGAAATTAGGAGGGGATGGACGTACAATTGTTGGTAAGTTACAACTTCCTTCTTACAGAAAAAAGCTCTACAGTTTTTGTACATTTACAAATCTTTGAGCTGTTGAATGCTTCAGGCATTCCCTAGGTCCCATGCAAGCCATTTGGAGTTGCTTGTACCTCAAGCACATTGTGGGATGTGGGGAGGCTTTGAGTCACCCTTTGGGACTCCAGAGTACAAGGCAACAAGAATCACTCAAGTCCATATCACTTGTATCACCATTAGAAAGGACTGCAGAACTGAGCCAGAGCAAAGGCTGATGATAGAATAAGGATTGATGATTACTTATAGCTTTGTATACATAGAAATAATTAATCCCCACTGCTAGCACTGTATCAGCCATATGGATGTGTTTATGCCATTTCTTTCTTCTAAACACGACCAGAAATAGTAAGAAACCCTGTTTGTGTTCTCTGAAGACACTGCTGTTTGCATGTCAGTCCATTTGTACAGATCTCTCAAATACAAATTCAGTGCCTATTGTTAAGCTGGCCAAGAATTTGGCAGCAAGTTTATCTACAGTGGCAGCATCTTGCCAGCTCATCCCAGTTTTTCCTTGCACATGTTTGACATTAAGGAGCAGAATATGGATTCATCACACATTTCATCAACAGTTATGAGAGTGACTTAGATGAAATGCCTTCATTGCACATTGTGATTCTGCAATGAAACCTCCCTGCAGTGTTTATCAAACCGCTGAAAAATGTGAACACCACCATGGTTTCTCTGAGGTTCCTCTGAACCATTTTCCAGCTTCCTTAGCCATGGCTCTTCCCTCCTCTGTCAGTTTAGTTACAGGAGGCTGTATTCACTGTATCCAGTGCTTTTGTGGCAACTAATGCGATAAAACACAGTAATGCTTAGTGCTATAATCCTGAAGTGGCTTATATTAATGGTGAGATTTTTTGGTTTTGCTCTTCTCTCTTAGATGAAAAGGGCGCTCCAGTGGTGAGTCCTGATGGACTGCCTTTGTTTGGACATAGCAGATTTAATAAACCTGTAGCGAGTGCACAAGATAAGCCAATAATAAGCCTTGGAGGAAAGCCTCTGATTGGTCTTGAAATGATTAAGAAAACAACCACTCCCTCAACTACTACTACAACAATACCAACAACAACTACCACGACAACTACCACAACCACTACAACAACTGTTGCTACAACCACCACCACCACCACTCCTGAGCCGACCACCACTGACCCACCCACTGAGAAACCCGCACCAACCTGTCCTCCAGGCACCTATGGGCAGTATGATGATGAAGGCAACTTGCTCCTGGGGTTTGATGGCCTGCCAGAGTGCAATGCAGAAGGTAATTTCCTTTTGCGCTGCTAGAGTTTCCATGGCTGTGCTGTTTGTAACAGATGTGGAATGGTGGAGAATCTGCCTCTGAATATTTTGGTCCTTTCGATAAGGTAGGAGCGGAGAATACGGCATATGAAGAGGGGTTTGGGTGTTAAATGGACTTTCACTGGAAAATGCCAACTTTCACCAAAGCTGAAGTTTTTTATGGAATTGTGTTGTTTTCAACAAATTTCTTACATTATGTTGGATCCATTTTTATTGCATATGTTCACTCACAGGGGTACAAGTATAGGCAGTAGCTTTGTGGTCAAAGCACTTACATATAAGTTTTTTGTCATTCCATTTCAGGCCAGAGTAGGACCCGGAGGAGCTATATATTTTGTCTGTTTTGTGTTCACTTATCACAATGAATTCTGAAAAGTCTGTCTTTTGAGCCATGGTGGAAACAGCATTTGCAAAGTGCTTGTTCTCTTGCCAGCCTTTGGAGATAGATTGTCTAGCAGGAATCCAGCACAGCACAGATGAAGCTGGTGAAAGGCAACCCAGGTTCTGCAGAGATAAGGCAGAGAGTTGTACACTGATTTCTTTAATATCTGAAGATACGAACCAGTGTCAGTGTGTGTCATTTTTTCCTATGCCAGTTATATAAGCTTCGGTTGTTGTGCCAAACTGAAATCCAAAGTAAACACATATAAGACTCTAGAGTCTTTGGGTATTGAGCCTGTTCCCTATCATGTTTTATGCTTTCAGCACCTGGATGTTGCATTGCAAGTGAATTAGCTGCTTATTTTGCCAAACCAGATCAGGGACCACCATGGTAGCCCTTACCCTTCCCATTTGTAGGTAATCCTCAACTCAGTCTACTAATGGGCAATAGCAGCACAGCCATAACTTTACCAGCATGTTGGCAGTCAGACATCTGACAACTGCAGGAGCCAGTTTTAATGGGTAATGAAGCCCAGTTACCTTTCTCCCATACACCTGTATCTTTTAAGTCAAAGTAGATTTACACGTAGGTCACGTAACCGCGGCCTAGGAAGCTGAGCTATCACTTTGAAAAAGGGCAGTGATATAGAAAGCAACTCACAGTGAGTCTAAGGATGGCATCTTGGGAGAAGATCTCAGTAGCAGAAAACAAAATTCCCTTACCAGTGGCCCTAGGTAACTAATGAGTCAGAGATATCAGTTCCTTGTGCAGGTGAAATTACAATGAGTTATAGTGTTAGCATTTATTAACAATTAGCCACATTTGACAGTGTGCAGTTATAGAAGTGTGCTTGCATGTGTAGATATGCACAGATGTGTACACACACAAACATATGTATGTAAAAATCATATCATCATTAAATATTAATATGAAGAGTTTTGCTTTTCCCTATGGAAAGTTCATAGTTATTAATTGTACTTACAGAAGTGTTATAAATATTGTTACATGTAGTCACTCTCATACTTTCAAAGCTGCCTAAAGGGAACCATGATTTTTGGTAGTTAGAATCCCTCCCACACACCCCCTTTTGCTCCTTTTTGCTTATCTTAAAAGTTGATTATATCCTGTAATGTTTCCTCTTATTTGCCCTGTGCTGTTTGGTACCTGGAGGACCTTTTCTGAGAATACACCTTGTAAGAACAGTAGAAGTTCATGACGTTTTATCTGGGATGAAACTGAAAGTAGACTCCAGAAGCTGAGCAACAAAATCCTTTGTGGTGTTATGTTTAGCAGAGTTGTGGGCTGGGGAATTTTCATGTGATTTTCTGAACACATAAAAAATTCTGCTTGGGTTTTTTGCCTTCTGCCAGATGGGCTTGCTGAATTTTTGAACTTGATAGAGGCACGAATGAAAACTAAGTTTATATTCAGGCTGTGTGTTCAATGAGAATGCATTTAAAGTAACTCATAAGCTGCCTGGCATTTTGACAGTATATCTGCAAATGCCTCACAGTGGCAGACTGAAAGGACAAGATGGTGCTGGATTTATGCTTCTTACCTGATTTTTAAGGCTTCTTACCTTATAGCTTGAGCAATATTAGTCCCTACCTGGGAATTCTGAAAGCTTCTCTAAAGAGTCTTTCTAAAGTTTTTTTAAATCCTCGTTACCTGCTTCAGTTTTAGATAAACATAGCAAAACAGCCTGCCTGTTCCACAAAGGAACTTGCTTGAAAAGAAAAGATATTTTTGGTATTTATTTAATGATGGCTATTATTGTTTAACAAGGGAAGCGTATATTTCAAGGGGGGTAATCAACTATTACTTGAATTATCAAAACAATGCAATTTTCATTTGATCATTTCCAAATTATATTAAATTATATTTTATCTTGTCTTTCCCTTTAATCTGAGTCTAGAAAATATTCCACACTGTTTAGTGAAATACTTTTTCTGCCAAAGCTTGATATTTGTTGCTAAGTACTTTGCTCACAAACAGACAGGGGCTGCAAGTGCCAAAACCCAGCTCCAAATGTTCTTCTTCAGCCTTGGCAGATTCTTTTATCTCTGGCAGGATTTCTCTCAATCCAGCAGAATTTATTGTCAGCTTTTCACTAGATTCAGCAGTCTTTAACTTTCAAGGAGGAGTTTGGCCACACAGGCGTGATTTGTCAGTGAAATCAACTAAACTTTATTCATGAACTCACAAAGGAAAGAACAGGTGGAGACTTAAGCACTCATTACATGTGATAAAATCAAGTGATGGATTTTGTAAGACAAGTAAAGACAACAAGACTGTCCTTATAGATGCCAAAAGTTTGTGGCAAGTGGTCATAGGAAGATTTGGCCCCATTTGTTACAGGCAGGGTTTACTCAAGAGGTTCAGCAAAGGGTGATGGAGCAAGGTGAAGAACTGCTGCTGGAGTATGTACAGAAAATAATAAAATGAGAGGTCTGTTAGGCAGTACTCTTATCATCACCGTGACAGAGCTAGAGCAACAAGAACAGACACTGAAATTGAGTACAAAAATAGAAAAATAGAAATTTGGCTTTGCTGTACTGTAGGTAGGCCAAAGACTTACTAGCTAATAAGCATGGATGAGTTGAAATCTGCCCATGAAAGATTTCAAATTTCTGCATATCTGATCCTCTTGATTACTTGGATGTAGGCAGTCAAAGGTAAGTGCATACATTATAGATGTTAGTTGATGTTGGCCAGTTGTGGGTAGATCTGAAGAATTCAGCAATCTACTTTGTGACTGACTAACCTCAGAGAAGTCAAGTGACTTCCAAGGGGATCATCTCCTGAAGACTGGCTGCAGAAGTCTACCATGAGGAAATGTCAGATTCTAATATATGAAAGTCTGACAAGAATAAACCCATTTCCTGTGTTTTAAAGCTTATCTTGGCATTAAAATCACACAGTGTATTAAAAGAAAATTATTTTATGAGAAAAAAGCAGTTATACAGTAATTGTTGGTTCTAAAAAAAAAATCAGCAAAATAAAAATGTATCATTCAGATTATATTTGTGAACTATTTAACACTGGCAGTTGAAACTTTGCACTGTTTGCAGCTGTGGTTTAGTAAAAATAACACTATTGCTTCCATATGGAGTGTTACAGGAATGTAACCAATGCATGTGAAGTGTCCTGAGGTCAAAGCTGTCTTTCTCTTGTCTTTGTTCACATGCTGGCAACTCCCCAGCCCCAGCATGGCACTGGAGACTTCTGATGGTACCTGCAGCACAGGTTACACCAAAGTGCTTTTGCTTTGTTTGCATGACTTTTTGTGACTGTGCTGAGCTTTGTGTAGTCTTTGGCTTCCCTGAATAACTTGGAGAAATTCTTTCCTCAGAGTGTGTAGGAAAGACTTTGGTATTCATTAGATGTACTTGATGGCTGATGTATCTGGTACTGGAGTCATGTCCTGCAGAGATAATGAGATAATATAAAGGAATAGTCAGCTGGGAGGTCTATTGGTGCAGCTGCATTGGATCTTGGGGTGGATCAGCAGAGTGTTTTTCATGTGCACCTTATAATCATCTGTCCTTGCTGTGCTTTCATTTGCATCCTGGAGCAATCTCACTCTGATTTCCTGAACTGAATTAATGTTGGATGAAACTAATGCAGAAACAGTGCTTCACCTATGTGGCCAAACCTGTAATGGGCTGCCATTCCATAGGACCAAGGTAGAGCTAGTGCAGAGTAAAACCCCAGAAAATCCAGCCCTAATTACTTCATTCTACTAATCCATTCCTTTTAGGCTGCATTCCTTGCAAGACCATTGACATGGTTTATAAATGTCATGGCTCTGTGTGCTGTTTGTTTTTATACCTCCACAAAAATATTTGGGTAAAAATATTTAATTGTTTGGTTGGTTTCTTTGGCATATGTTTTCACATCTGCTGCTTCTGAGACTATAAAATATTGTCAAATCCAGATGTGATCATTATGTAGTTGCTGGCAGCCCTATCTTTCACCAGAGCAGCTGGGGCCTGGGGCAGAGCTTCTGGAAGGTAATTACTCTTAATTTTGTGTAGCAGCCCTAAACCCATTTTCCCCCAGAAAAACTCCTGACTACTGTACTTAGCTTCTCATCTGTTATTCCCAATGTGCAGAGTGGACTGTCACTGCATTATTTGGAAACCAGGAAGTTATCTGATTTCTTTACAATTCAACTGGCTAAATATTTTTATTTAAAACTTTACTCCAGAATTCTTTTATTGAATTCTTATAGCATCTTTTTCTTTCTCTGACAATAGATACATTCTCAGGACTGGATTCAGATGTGACAGCAACTCCAGAAGCATACGTGATATATGATGATGGTATGGTTTAACTGTAGAGGTCTATTGCAAGTGGCATGTTGCTTTTTTATCTTTTTTCTTTGGAACTGTGTTCAGGGAGGCAGATTGGTAAATGGGAGCTTAAGTAAGTGGTGGTGAGCTGGAAAATGGTGAGCTGCATCCCATGTGATGAAAAGGGGTCCAAAACCATCTGTTTCTGGACATAAAAATCCCTTCCTATCTGTCCTGCAATCTATCAGGAATTTCCTATTGAGGAAATAAATTATTTTTCAGAGCTGTGTCATACAGACACTGCTTTGATCCTAGATTCAGTTTCTCTGGTGCAACTTCTAACTCCTGCCCAGTCAAAGTCAATTACCTCCTCTAAAATACAAAACCCAAATAACATTCAAACCCTGAACATTTTGAAATACCTTAGCAAGTTCTTTCTTTAATGTGTAGTCTGCATTTAGACAATTAAGCATGTTCATACTGAATGAGATCACCTGCATGTAAAGTAATTAATCTGCTTAATTAATGTGTAATTCAAATCAAAGAGATGTGAAATCAGATGAAAGGAAAAGAGGGAAATATTTTTTTTCAGGGTTATATTCATGCCATTTTGGTATTATAATCAAGGACATACAAAATTTAGCTGAAGAGGAAGTGTCAAATCACAGCATTTAATTGTAAGTTTGCACAGCGAATGCAAATTCTCAATTACTGGAACTGAAATTCACTTTCTGCCATCAGTGACATCTGACGTTCTATCTCTTTTAGTCCTCAAATTCCCACTTCTGCCCCCACATATGGAAGTGGATAAGTACAGACCTCAGTGAAACAAAAAGTTTTTTAGTAGGATTTATGGCTCTAGAACAATGTCATTTTTTTTTAATTTGTAGTTGTAGTTATATAAGTCTAACCAACAACAGAAAAACATTTAAAAAGGGAGCGCAGCAGCGGAGTGAAAGATACAGAGATTTGTACTTTTAATTCCAATCACTTCATACTGAAACTGACATTTAGAATGTGGGAGGAGGGGATGAACTAGAAACAGCACAAGACATACATCCCATATTCCTTACATCTCCATGGATGCAGAAGATCCTCAGTGCACAGGTCTTTTGCCAGGTCTCCCCTTAGGCACAGGTCACCTGCAGAAAATACACGCCGTAGCAGTTTAAGCACAAAACACTCAAAGACAGGAGCTGAGTTCCCCAGCCTGCATGAACTCATGGCAGGGATGCCAAATGCTATTTTCCCTTCATTTTGTGTGCTTATCAGGTAACACAGTAGCTTTTGAAAGAGCACTGTATTTAATAGGGCTGAACATTATGAGATTCATGTGGGACAGTTTGCCTTCCTTCATGTCCCTGCAGGGACCACAAATGGGGAGTACTGGGCTCTACACCTCCAGTCACAGGAGGGTTTGAGAGCAGTATGAACCACCTCTAGGGTTTTAAAATTGCAACACAGAGTTTTCTCAGCCATTTTTTTCTCTCCCTTATCTAATTCCTTCAGTATCTGAGGGCTTTGGCCAGGGTTTCAATTACTGTGCCATCTTCTCTTGGGTTTTGTGAGAGGAGGTGGCAGATGCACATTCAGGATATTGCTGTACAAATACATTTGTTAAATGTATTTTCATCCTGTTTAACTGTGTGAGTGAGGTCTAAATCAACAGTGACATGAGTATTCTGGGACAAAGATGTTTTCCCTATCCATCAGCTTGGTAGAAACCATTCCAAGGCTGAAGTGTGACCATCCTTGGCCTAGAGTTCCGTAAGGAGTGTGCAGTGGCCAGGGAGGGCTGTGTAGCACTTCTTTGGGACTGTGGCTGGTGAAGAATTGTTTCCCTTCTCATAGTTAAGCCAAAATTAGATGAAGCATGCTAACATTTTTATCTTATGTTTCCTCTGAAGACTACGAGTTTTTTGAGAGCACTTTGCCGCCGACCACCACCACTGTCACCACTACCACTGCTCCTACGACAACAGAATTGGAGGTCATCTATCCAGAGACCAGTGTTGTTGGCACTGGCCCTGTGTCAGAATATGATATTGCTGGGAAGAAACGCTTCACAGGTAAGGATGTCCTTTGGTTTATGTAGCTTACTACTTGTGCTACAAAGATTTCTTGTTCCAGCAAGGCCAGCCCTTAAGCTCAGACCATTGCACAAACACATCCAGTAGATGTGTATGTGGTCCTTTTAAGGATTGCCACCTTGGAAACACAAACAGCAGTACTTTTTTCCTTGCTTCTGTGCTTGCATTTCTATGTGTGGGCCCACAATAATTTTGTTGAACCAGTAAAAACCTCTTCATACTCTTTCATTGTAAGTGCTTTGCTCTGTGTTCTGCATTTTGTGTGGTCTAGCTGAAGTTAGTAAGAGAGCAAGAGTGTCTACACCAGTGCTCAATTCAGCTTAACTGCATCTAACCTCACACCAATAGTTCCAGGAGGGCAAGTCTCCACCTAGGTGTGAGTCTTCCTCTGGGGTACCTGATTCTTTTACACTGATCTGTTAAACCCCAGTGATTTCATCCGCTTTGCGCAAGCATGTATGTCAAAAGGATGCTTCAAAGTCAAGGAATGAATGGTATTTTGGACATGAACTTTCCAAACAATAAATTCAGTAGAGATAAATATGATTTTGGTATTTGAATGTTTTCTTGGTAGAAGGCATTTGGTGAAGGAACCCCCATTACATGAGCCATATCTCCTGTGTACATGAGCCATTCAAGTGTATAGGTTGGTGTTGCAGCACTGACTTCAGAGTTGCTCTGCTTCTTGTCAGAGAAGCAGCTGGGGGTCAGAACAGAGGGATTTGGAGATTGTAGGGCAGCACATTCCAGCCTCCACCCCAGACTGGTGACACCCCCTGCAGCCCTTTACATATTTCTGGCACTTGAACTGAGGTCAGGTCAGCTGCTGACTCACCTGGAATTTCAGAAAAGAGTTCAGGGGATGGAGAATCATCTTTGACATGTCTTGGCTTCCCTTCCAATATCCACAAGCTTCATGTGGCTTAGAGTGGAACTCTCTGCTGCTGGAGTAAAAGATTTGTTTTTATATATGCCAAAACTTTTTCCAGTGCATCTTCAGTTTCTCTGTCCAAACAATTTCATGATATTTCTATTCGGCTCTTTCGCTGACAGTGCTTCTTGATTCATTTAGCTGGAGAGGCTAAAATTAACTTCATTGCAAGATCTGGAAAAAATTTCTTTAGGGCATGAAATCCAGTAAGATAAACCAAGAAACGTTGGTTTATGAACATTTCAAGGCACTAGGGAAATAATATTACCATTTCAATGAATTGTATTATTGCAACTGAATAAACATTTCCAAAGCAAGTTTTATAGTCCTTACTTTGAATGTTACGGTGACTTTTAAGGCAATAAAAAGATGGTTTAATCTTTTCCTGAACTGAAGTGAAATTCCAGTCAGTATAAAGCTTTTAAAAATAGAACTTACAGGTTGGGAGCCTGGAATGCCTGGAAGGTAGGGACTCATGGCTCCTGGTCCCTTAGTACCCAGGGGACCATAACAATCCCTTTAAACTGGCTGGACTTCACCTTGGAATTACTCTTCATGTTTCTTTTCTTGTTTTGATCCAGCTCCAGGATGTTTGTGTAAGAACCGACCACTTGGACCTGTAAAGTCTTAGATGATTGAAAGCCCTGGCAGGGATCTGTTCCCACGCTGGAAAGGCAGAATTTGGGTGGCATTTCATCCCACCTTCCAGAGCAGCTGGAGGTAGCGTGCAGAGGGTGCTGCAGTCAGACTGCTCTCATCTGCCTCTTGTAGCAAAGAAAGTCCTTCCATCTTTGCATAATTTGGTACAGTTGGGAGTGTGGGGTAGGCAAACCTGAATGTTGGCATCACATTCCCCCTGCTCATCAATCAAATTGGCTGTATGCCATGCTTTGTTGGCAGTGGTCTCGGGACTGGACAGTGAGGAATTTTAAAATGCACCACAAATCTTGACTCTCTTTAGGAAATTTCCAGTCTGTGTGCTACTCTGGGATACCTCAAACTGCTAATTAAATGCTGCCCTTCCCTGTCTTTTCTAGCTCCTTATGTGACCTATCTCAATAAGGATCCAGCAGCCCCCTGCTCCTTGACAGAGGCCCTGGAGCATTTCCAAGTGGAGAGCCTTGATGAAATCATTCCCAATGACTTCAGAGAGAAAGATCAGCGTCCCCTGAAAGCCCCTCACAACATCACAGTTGTGGCAGTTGAAGGCTGTCACTCCTTTGTCATTGTGGACTGGGCCAAACCTGCTCAAGGAGACATGGTAACAGGTACGCTCCTGAGGGTTTCTCTCCTGATGGGAGAGTGGAGAAGGGGAAGTTTTTCCTGAATGACCATTTGTACTAGTGTCTACACAGTCAATTATCACTTAAAACAGGTTACCTCTGTCATCTTTTTCAATTCACAACTGGGTGCCTCTGATGTAATGCTCCATCCTTATTAGCTAATGGTAGGAAATTCTTAAGGCCAGGATTTTCTAGGAGAGTTAGGCATGGAATCACTTTCATATTAAAAGATGTTTCAGCTCCTTTTAATCCTTAAAATTTACCATGACACTTAGAGATATCATTGATTTAAAATTTAATTATAATCCTCACAACTACTTCTGTTTACAGGCTATCTGGTTTATAGTGCATCCTATGATGACTTTTTAAAGAATAAGTGGTCAACCAGGACTGCAGGGTCTACTCACTTGCCAATTGAGAACCTGAAGCCAAACACACGGTAAGGATTTGATCCACTCCTTTTCAGCTCTGTTAAGAAAATAAAAGAAATTTTGAGAATTATCAGTTGTTTTTCTTGGTCATAGTATAAATGTTTACATCTGATTTAGATTTTACTCATTCTGTTGGACAGCAAATTGTTCTATAAACTGTACAACAACAACATATTTATTTACCATATTAACTCTGGAGCAGATGGCAGTGTGTACATGTACATTTGCTTGCGTGTATGAAAACACGTATCAGTAACAAAGAAAATCTTGTTCTAAAATGCATTTTCTAGTCTTTTGCATAACTGAATCAAATGTTGGGGGGTAAAGTACTCTAAAATATAAAAAATATACTAAAATATACCCATGATGTTGTTTGATGTGATGTGGGCCATTCCAACATATGTGTGGCCAAGATTTGATGCCTAAAGGCTGCTGGGGAAGTGCTGCCCACTGGTCTGTTTTTGCTTTCTGTTCACATGAATAGTGCTGGAAGAGAAGGCTTGGTGGTATAAAGTGAGGCTGTGGAGCTTTAGGTTTTTATCTTACAAAAAATCTGACTGAAGTGGCAGAACAAGAATGCATGCTTCACATGATACTGGAATAATTTGTGGCGACTGGGGGGAAAGTAAGCAGCTACAGAGGGACCGCATTCAAATTACTCCTTTAGAGAGATACTCAGTGTCTCACATACTTGTCTCTCAAATCCTGAGCCCAAAATTCTTTTGGTGCTCCCTTGGGCTAGGCCTTTTGCATGCTGCTGTCTGCAGTCTTTTAGGCACTGGTGGAAGGTGTTGCTCACACAGTGCAGAGATTCACTGGGAATGTGGGCTGGAATTAACGTGCCTTACTTGATGGTGAGCTGCAGATCTGAGGATTGACTGCTTGGAGAGGCACATAGGGTTTGTGCTAGGACAACACAGCAGAAAGAAACAGTGTCATGCATTTCCATGAACCTGGTGACTGTCTTGTAGAATTAAGGTTCTGTTTCATAATAGAGAGGTTCAAGCAAGAGCTATTTCTTTAAGTGTATTGTTTTACCAGCATCTTCCTGAAGATAGTATAATCCACTGGCCCCTATTGTATGCTCTGTCAAGGCAATAAAGGCTTCATGTGGGGTCTGTGGTGGAGAACGAAGGATCTTTATAACAGAGAAATTGTATGTATCAGCCATTCTCATTTACATTCTTCAGACCCACAGACGGAATTGATTGCATACCTTTTGTTATAAAAATAACTCCCTAACCACTAGAAAAAGATACCATGCCTAAGAAAATACAGCAGGAAAGCTGAAGTTAGTCTAAAAATTTTGTGTCTGCATTGTTAGTTCATTTTGTGAGAAATGTCTAAGTCATTTACTGTAAGCAGACACTGTTGGCTACTGGGCGTCCCACAAGGGGCTATGGGTGGTGCAGCCTTGCAGCATGTGCAGTGTATGAGAAGCAGGTTGGCATCTTGGCTGAAGTTAGCACCAGAGAAGATTTCAAGCTGTTAACATATCCTGGAAAACATCTGCCTGTTATTTAGGTTTTACAAACAAAACAGAAATCTATGTTTAATCCATGTAATAAATTTTCTTCTGAGGCCTGGTCTGACCTTCATGTGAGAAGTGGAAGTTTTTCCATTAGTGAAACTCTGCTCAGCTTCAGTGGGCATAGGAGCTGCTTCCCTGTGACGTGTGATTGTAAACACTAAAATTACTTTAAAACATATTAAATCTTGAAACCAGTAGTTTTGACAAGATCCCTTCCCTAACTTCAACTCTCATCTGTCACAAAAGATGATGCAAAGGGCTGGACAGAATCTGCTCAACCACCAAATCCAGTCTTCTGCAGTCAGAAACATTATAATCCTTGCCATAAACATTTCAGTCCCCTTCCTGAGCATGGTTAGACTTTTTCCTGCTGTTTTCAGGAAAGCTGTGTCAGTGCCTGATGGGAGTAGCTAGATAGTCTCATGAGTCTCATGATTTACAACATCGTCCTTCACCCCATATCTCCGTGTCTCCTGAAATCTTTCTCTCTGTTCACTTGGGCTTTGTTCCAGCTGGGGATATTTTGATCCCACAGTGCTTGCTACCGATTCCAGTGTTGTACAGAGTATTTCATAGGAGGTTCTTAAACATTTACTTAGGGCTTACAACTGCAAACAGAGCTTGGATCTTCTGTTTCAGGGGGCCAGATGCACCAAAAATTTCTATTTCTTTTCTATATCTCCATTAAAACAAAGCCACAGTATGGCCAACAAGCAGCATCAACCACAGGTGGCTGCTTTGTGCCACCAGGGCCACACAGAAGAGCTGAGATGCCCATGAAAATGTTGTCCTGTGCAATGGTAGACCTGTGTGGCACATACCTGCCGCACACCAGCTCTATAGGAAGCTCCTCTGCCAGCTTGGCTTTAATGTCTTATTATAAAATTAGTTATAAATATTGACGAGGGATGTAGTGGTGGGACGCTTTAAATGGAGGCAGACACTTAGCCTGTGAACCTGCAGGCACTGATTCACACATTTTTCTTATGGAGGAATGGTGTAGTTGTAGGAAGAGGACTTTAGCCCTTGCTGCCATCTCAGCCTGCTGCTGAACAGAGTGCAGGGCTAAGGATCCATGCAGGCATGTTTTTGGAAAGTCTGGAAAAAAGAATTTGCAGCTAGCTAATTTAATTTTTTTAAAGTTGCTTCCCTAATTATCATGCTGAGTGATTATCTCACTTTGCACTGGGAGTGCCAGCTATTTGATTCCAACAGAAGGGAGACACCTTGAATTAAGTCAAAGAATAATTTTACTCCAAATGACAGGTATGTTGAACAATTACTCATGTAGTCTAAATGAAAAAACGTTATATGTTGAATGCCACTACATTTCACTGTGTCCTTTCTTGACATATCACTAGAATTGGTATATAAAATCTCAAAGAAAGTTAATTCTTAGGAGGAAAAGCCTTTTTCTTGTTTGAATTGAAAATGAACAACGAATGGTGCTGCATCTGTTATGATTCTTCTGTGCCTCATGGTAACAATTTATACAGTTCTGCCTAAGCAAAGTGTAAATCAAATTATATATTGAAAATTTTGTTCATGTATTTATGTGATGAAAACCAGTTGAGTTATACTGATTTGAGATTTCCTGGCAAATTCATCAACTGAAAGATTCTGACTAATGAAAATGTCAGATTCCTGGACCTAGAATGGCTTTGGCAATTTCTTTTTTTATTTGTCATGTCTAAGAAAGAAATATATCCCAACTGCATTATTTTATTGATGTTCTTAATACAGCAGTCATAGCATTGTCTATGTTTAAATCACAGGTCAGCAAGTCATGAGATCTGGCTCACTTTCTGGTACAACTAGAGCCTTCTTGTGTATATAAAGGCTTAGGAATAATTTTTCCAGTTTAGTGAAGAAAAATGCACTCATGACTTCATCACTGTGGGTTTTTTATTAGACAGTCAGGCAGGCAACATGAATTATTATATGCCCTAGATGGGCTTCTGTGTGTGTAACAGGACAGCTGAATGCACAGTTGTCCTGGTTGCATAGGTTATCAGTTCCTATCCAATGCGTTATGCATTGGATACAAATCTGCATGGTTTTCCCAATTTAAAGAGTTGCACAAGGTTCTTGAGCTCTTGTCTCACCTGTTTTGAGGGGGATTATGGCACTCATATGTCTGGTGGGAATGCTTTGAGGCTACCAGGAATACACATGTCTTAAGTGTATTTAAAGGGTTACTCAGACAGTGCCACTGTGTTGAAAGGTGGTATCTGATCATACTTCTTTGGAGGCAGTGGGAAGTCAGGCATCCATACTTTCCACTATGCTTTGAAGCAGTATGGGAAAGGAGTGGGCTGGAAAGCATTTTTCTCCTGCTCTTCTGAAGCAGTTACATCAAACACTGAGCTAAGTCAGTTAAGCTTGGTGCAGTGGACAGGCTTGTGCTGCTCACCCCTGTCCCGATCCAGGTGACAAAAGTGCTAGTGAAGGAGGTGTGGAGGAATGCAGGTGCCCCATGAGAGCATTGGCAATTTGGGATTAAAGCAGTGCTCAGGCTGACATGCTCTGCTTGGGTGGCCAGAGTGGAGAAGCACAGGGGAGGCTTTTTGCCTTCCCTCTCCTCTTTCCCCAGACATGCTAAATGCTCTTTTATACAAAAAATCTAGTCAGCAGTTAAAAACAGGGGCAATTTTTTCTGCCAGCAAAAGGACTGTGCTGGGCATGAGCAAAAACCCCAGCCTCCCTGATTTCTGTTATTTATCATGTTTTCTTTTTGCCACAGCATATGTATCTTTTTAAAAAAAATTGTGAGTTATTTGTGAGCATCATGTACTCATTAACTGAAGGCAGAACTGGCTGCAGAAAGCAAATAGTGGAGTAGTTTTCTGGTATCAGCTGCAGGACACAGCAGGGACAGGAGACATGTCCCTCATGCAGACATGGGAAGGTGTCCCACAGAGGGTCTGACAATGCATGTGCTCCAGGTCCAACACAGATACCAGGTAAATCTGGTGCTAAGGATGAAGAATATTTCAATTCTAGTAGCTTCCACATTGATTTCACCTAGATAACCTACCAGTAATTTTTAAGGAATAAACAAGATGGCCTGGCCCATACCCTGGAGATAACCACCTTGCTTCTTGGCAAAACCCAATGTTTGGCCAAAGAAGAAGGATTTGTACATCTTTCCTACCTTTTCAAAAAGATCAGTTTCATTTTAAGGCAAAGCAGTTCACCTGACTTGACAAAAGATATTCTTTTTAATGAAAAAAACCCAAACAGTTTTGCTAAAGGGACAGTTCAACCGTGTCCCCTCTGTTTTATCATTGTGAATATTTTCATGTGTGCTTAGCTGTGCTTAGGCCAGAGAGGAGCCTTTCACGAGCCCCCCAGCCCTGCTATGTGGTTAAATCTGAGAGGAGCAGATGCAGCTGATGGTACAGAACAGTGCACATGGTAAATACCAAGTGGCAGACTAAAACCACCCAAGTCCTTGCAACAGGATTGTATTGAGTTTCCCTGCTGCCTGGCAAAGCATGAGCATTGTGTCTCAGCCCAGTGTGGCCTGTGCAAATGAAGCAGCACTGGCAGGCTTTTGTGCAGGATGGAGAGACGTTCACCAGGAAGAGCAGCCTGATGTTTTTGATGGAGTAGACTCCCTTTCACCAGTTGTGATACATCAGGCCTGCCATTCAAGTGGGACACTGTCAGGTGAGGTAATCAGTGCTTGGTGGCAACCATGCAAGTAAGCACTTGTCCTGTTAAGTGTGTAGAGCTTTTGAACATATCTCGTTTTGGATGACAGGCTAAATCAAGATCCAAATGCTATGTGGATATTACAGAGGCACAATAATTTTTGATTTTTTTTTTTATTAATTTATTTACAAGAATAAAATTGAGCAAGCAGGCAAGAAAGGAAAACCTAATTTTCAAGAATTTAAAAATTGCTGTGCTGGAATTTTTTAAGTAATCTTCCATTCTAGTTTTTTTCTGTTGGACTGATACAAATATAAAAGAAAAAGAAGAAAACATTAATCTGAAGAAAAAATTCAGGGTAGGCATCAACTAAAAGTCATTGTATTTGGAAATGAACTAAAAAATGAACTAAAATACTTATATGTATTCTCTAAGGGTGAGGATAAATTTGCTTCTATTGAACAAAGAATGGAGTTCTAGTAGTGATTCATGTGCTTTGAGTTAAGCGTGTGATTTAAATACTTTGGAGGAACAAATAAGATATCATGTGATGCTTTCTTCTTTTACCCAAGTATTGTGATCTTAATGCTGCTGGAGTTTTTACAGAAAGGTCAAAAGCTTAGCTTCTGATCTCATATAAATCTGATGCAGTTTCAGTTTGCAGTTTGCAACACTGCTTCCCCAGGAGTTAATCTGGTTTAAAGCTGTTCCTGAGATCAGAATTTTACTTTCTTGCAACTTTTTCTTTTAGTATTTTGCTATTAGTTGTTTCGTAGAAAGTGGATGTTGTTGTATGTGGTTTTTGGAAGGGAGATGAAATATAAATACGTGTTCCAAAAATATACATGGGAGCAATTGCAAAAAGGAGACATTTGTCTGTAACAGCCAGCTCATACTCTGGCTCAGTATCCAACTCCATTTAATGCAAAGTATACTCAGTGGAATTCTTCTGCTTTGATTCTTACCCTGTTTTAGTATTATTTATAATTTAGCTGTTGCTGTGGAATCTGTTTCAATATTATTTCCCCTCTCTTCTTGTTTCAGGTATTATTTTAAAGTCCAAGCAAAGAATCCCTTTGGTTATGGACCTGTTAGCTCTTCAGTTTCATTTATCACAGAATCTGGTATAGTTTTATTTTTATTTTCATCTCAAAACTCATAATAACAGATGTGGCAGGGCAATGACTGTAACCAGCATGGCAATAACAGTGGTTATTCTGGACTTGCTGCTTTCATATTATGCTGGGGGTTTTTAAACTTTAATTATTTGTTTTCAGTTAAGCTAGGAAAATAATACACACTCCTAATGCCACTATGAAAATATAAGTGATGTTAAAATCAGCTCCAGGGGAACAGGAAGCTGAATTTCAAATACAAAGGGCTACTGATATTCAACAATACAGAAGCAATGGAACTTTACGGTCTTTGATAGATTGACCAAACATTTAGTAAATTGGTTTCCTAATTGTGAACAGCTAAACAGTTGGAAGCAGTTGTCTCTGGAAGAAATGCAGAATGCAGTAGTTCCATCACAGGCAAAGTTCTCTGTTCTTTTTTTCTTTTGACAAGGCATGCTGCTCTTTCACAGGGCTAATAGTACATTCAAGAGCAACACCCCCTTCTAAAAATAGTAGGTCAAAGCAACTATTTTTTGCCTGTTTCTTCTTCTACTTCCATGGAGCCAGAGGCTAGTGACTCCATTAAATAGTAAAGAACAGATTTTTCAGTCTTTACTTTGAGTGAAAGGTCTTGTTGTTTCTTGCAAATTTTGCCCTTTCAATGGCATGGGGTTTCTCTGCCCTTTCTCATTTGACTTCACTGTGTAGTGCTCCCTTCAGAAGCTCCACTAAGAACCACTGAAGTAAATCATCACAGAAAGGAGACAGAAATGCGAGATCAGTCAATGGTCCTGGATAACATATTCAGATTTTCATTAAACGAATAGGACGCTCAAGTATTAATCCAAACATAGTATTCAACATTGCCCCGCTGGCCAAGAAAGCCAATGGCATCCTGGCCTGTATCAGCAGTGGTGTGGCCAGCAGGAGCAGGGCAGTGACTGTGCCCCTGTACTGGGCACTGGTGAGGCCTCACCTCACGTCCTTTGTTCAGTTTTGTGCCCCTCATTACAAGGAAGACTTTGAGATGCTGGAACGTGTCTAGAGAAGGGCTGTCAAGGAACAGGCTGCCCAGGGAAGTGGAGTCTACATCCCTGAAGGTATTTAAAGATGTGTAGATGTGGCACTGAGTGACATGGTTTAGTGGAGGACTTGGCAATGCAGGGTTGACAGTGGACTCACTGATCTTAAAGACCTTTTTCCAACCTAAACAACTCCATGATTCTGTGCTGTCTCTTGCAGATTGTTTTCCTGCTGCCAGCATACGGGCCTGAATGCCTAGTTTTCCCATCCAAAATCAGCCCATTTGTGAGCTTTATTTAACCTGTTAAATACAGCAAATTTAAAGTTTTGTTTGCAGCACTGATCTTTCATTTGTCATGACCAAAGGTGTCTTTGCAGCTGGCACAAGTATAAAAACCAGTTGCTAAATGCTATACCAGGTGGTATAGTTACAGTGAAAAAGTTTATAAGAGAAAGAAATTGGTAATTCAGAGTGCTCTTCTAATGCAAGTGTAAGGTTTGACCTGCTGGGAATATTCAATAAAGAATGCCATCATAGGATGAAGCACATTATTGAAAATGTTCAATCAGCGACTCCATATGTTTCATGTTATAAAACAAGGTTTGGAACAAAATACTAAATTTTCTATGTGTTTTTTTTCTTTTAGACAATCCTCTCCTCATTGTCAGGCCACCTGGTAAGTCTTTCTCTGTTTTTTCATTCATGAAATGCATAAAGCCTGTGCAAAACAGAATATAGGAATTAGAAACATTTACACATGCAGTTTTAGGTACAGTTTTAAGTAGGAACAGGTAATAATTAATGGGACTAATTCATAAAACATTTTTTGTCTTAGGACCCCTTATTCTATTTTCTGAAAAGAAATCTTGTAAAGATACATTCAGATAAGCACTTGATTTTGGCCTATCTTTTTCCCTGCTACAACAGCTTTAATTGCTTAGTAAAAAAGCAGTAAACTATGTTACTTCAGTATCTGTGTCCTTCAGTTGCTTAAACATAGCTTGAATAGCAGGATCAGGTTTCTCTCTCTCTAGTTCTGGTGCTCATCTGTACAAATCATCATGCCCTTATAAATGCTAAAAAATTCAAGGATTTGTTACTGACCTGAATAATATGCCAAAAAGCTGTTTAGCTTGCTTTGTATTTCCAAATTTACAATAAGCTAGTTCAGCCCATAATCAGAAGATCTGATTTCCTGGTGCTGAGACTAACCTTGCTGACATGAGCATTGGTAGTGTAACCCCAGGCAGTACGTGCTCTAGAAGAGATGCAGGAAAAAAGACCTCATGGTTATTGCACTCCATCAGCTTTCCTAAGGAGTTAAAATGGTTGGTTCTGGATTTTTTGCTACACTTTTCATGAAAACAGTGTCCAGTTTATCCCTTCCTTCTCAATTTTATTGTGCTTGCTAGTCTGGTGTCTTTGTGTTCTGGGAGGCCTCTGGGGATTGCTGATCAGTGACTGCTTCTCACACGCAAGCGTTTGCAGGATTTGGTCCCTGTGACTAGTGAGAGGAAGAATGACTAACAGAAGAAATTTCCAATCTCATTTGTAAATCACCTTGAAACAGCAGAGTAAAAACACGGCTTTGGGGTCTAGCTAGAGAGAAAAATACCAATTATCACATTGGAAGTTTTTTGTATCATTCTGTATACATTAATACAACAGCAATTTCAAAATCAATTATATTGTCTTGGTAGTACAAATCAAATATTTAGGTAAACTAGTAGGAATATTTATTCTTTTGCAATACAATTAAGTAGTCTTGTCTGCAGCAATGCTCAGAACAGAGTTCCCCAGGAAAGGTCTTACTTGTCTATTATTGGAAACTTAGCTGTTTTGATGTAATCTGGGAAAACGAAAAAGAAAAGTACATTTGTGATATGATCTCTTAAACGAAACAGCAAGAAGAGACTTCACAGGCTGTTGCTCACCACAGAGTTCTTAACATCTCTTCTTGTGAATAAGGGTTATGTTTTATAGTCTTAAAATGCAAGTCAGTCTCAGACCTAAGATAAGGCTGTGTTAATAGAAGCTGTGTAATACTAGGTAGAGAAGAAGTCTTACTGAAACAATTAAGACTGTTTACTTAAATCTGTGGTTCAGTACATGATATCATATTTTAATCATTTTGACAGTTATTTTTGTCTACTGCATAGGAGGGATTTAATAAAGTCTCAAACTTTATTTTTAATAATATTTTTTCTTGAAGTACTACTTACGAATATAAAAAAGTCATGCGTTAATCTGTTGCAGCATGTCCTGTGAAACATATTATTAGATGTTAAACTCTGCAAAACTTGGACTGATATGTTAAAGGCTGTCCCTAATGTGGAATTTATTTTTTTCTCCAAGGTGGTGAGCCTATCTGGATCCCATTCACTTTTAAATATGACCCCACCTACTCAGACTGCACTGGCAAGCAGTACGTGAAACGAACTTGGTACCGCAAGTTTGTAGGAGTGGTTCTTTGCAACTCCTTAAGGTACAAAATTTACCTCAGTGATGACCTGAAAGGTAGGCATTAATTTCCTGCTATGTGATTACTTGTCTCTTCATCTGGCTTTCTTCATTTCATATGTGTCAGAATTGTGTGACCATTATGTGAGAGTCCTTCTCAAGAAGGATTAGCAGTAGCTCTTACACAGGTCCATTGCCTGAGAGATAGTGAAAAAAACTTTCCATATTGTTGAGCTGGGGTAATGGGATCATCTCAATGGCCTTTCAGACTATGCTAATGACTATTGTAGTGCCTTGGTATAGTTTCAATACAGTGTTTGAATAATAAGAGCCAAAAAGCCCTGCCTGTTTGAAAAAGAGAAATCCACAGTTTTTAATTTTTGTTTGAGACTGAAGTCAAACTAATGGTATTCACATATTGAGAGATTTTTACTTTCACATTATATATTTCAACTAATCCAGTTGAAATTCTCTTCACCTGTCTCCTGCGATGCACAGCCCATGGACTTGCAAAATGGAGACTACTCTTTACTGAGCTGTAACCCATTTATTTTCCATTATTTCTGCTTCCATACTGTGAAGGTACCATTCTCCCTCTTTCTGGTCACTGTTTGTTCATTGGTAAGACTGTGTGTGTCACTGCGATGTTCTTCCTGCTTTCTTCCACACCTACTTTCCTGGTGGTAAAGAGTATCCCAAACATAAGTTTTGCCGAGTTAAGTAATCTGTCTGTATCTCTCTTCAGATACCTTCTACAGCATTGGGGATAGCTGGGGAAGGGGTGAGGACCACTGCCAATTTGTGGATTCACACCTGGATGGAAGAACAGGACCTCAGTCGTACATTGAAGCCCTGCCCACGATCCGAGGTACAGCAATGGGGGAGTGGGATGCTGGCCAGGAGCCTGTTATCCCATCTGTAGGATTAAGGTATTAGGAGCAGAGCACAGAGTGCAGCTCTGTCCACAGCTGCTGACAGCTCTCCGAGGAGTCCAGCTGATGCAGTAGCTGAGAACACATTATGCAAGTCCCAGAGGACTTGTGGATGCAGAGAGAGAGAGAGACAGACAGAAAGAGAGGGGCATATGATGCAAATACTGTGCAGCAACAAAATGCAAAAAGAAAACAAAAAAAATAACTGTGGAGGTCTATGAAACCTTTCTCTTATTGATAAGACCTACTTCATTGAATTGACGTGCAAAACCCATGTGCCTAAAGGGACCAGCTACATTTTTACAAATATAACTTCTGTGAACGACTTCTATTAGTTCATTCAGTGCAAAACACAAGGGAATATGTCTAGTGACTTAAGGTCAGTACTTTTATTCTGGTCTGGTAGATGCCTGTCTCAGAGGGGAAATTCATACTTTGAAGGAATTCCTCTGAGCAAGTTTCTCACCTCACATAACCAGGTAGAAGACAGGTTGCTTCACAAAATGAAACCAATCATGGAAGTCAGCCAATCTTTTCAGTAAGTCTATTGGTTTAAATTATTTAGTTAACTTTAGTGGTTTCCATGTTAGATTATGTGTTGATATTCTTTGCATAGTGGCGTTACCAGGAAGAAACTGAAATCGTAACTGATAGTTATGTATCATTGTGAAGTACTGCATTTTGTAGCTCAGAAGACAGATGATTAATCCAGATGTATGTATACTAGGTCTAGAAGACAGAGATAGAGAGCACACAGAAGTTTTACTATTGGCATAAGCCATGGGTGTTTCAGATGTTCCAATGCACGAGCTATGCAGACAAGAATGCTGCACCTCTTCTAATGCTTTAAGCAGTCACATTCTTTTTGCAGATGAATTAAAAGGGGAAGGGAGGGCTTAACTCAGTATTTACTGCATGAAATGATACCTTTCTGTTTTGTGAAGAGCTGACTTTTGCTGATAGTCTCTTAAGCCCTATGAGATAATGTGATTTGATGGTATTTTTTTGCCCCAGAGTCCTTAATATATTTAAACTGACTTAGAAACTTCATAAACACAGCTGAAATATGCCCACCTTTTGGATTGAAATGCAGAAGCTCTTTGGCAGCCCACAGGATTACACAATACTTAAAGAGATTTTGAGCAGTAAAACCAATCAAAACTACAAGAAATATGAAGGACCATAGTTAGATCACTCAAGGAAGATCTCGGCCAAATACCAGGGCTAGCCAATATCCTTTTTGATACAACTCCCTGCCAGACAGTTTATAAATTTGCATTTGCACTGTGAGGTTGACTCTCACTGCACCTGCTACTTTAGTTAAATTGCTGTGTCTGTGTTCTGGAATACAAATGGGTGTTTTTCTCCTGACAGGGTATTACCGCCAGTACCGCCAGGAGCCTGTATCGTTTGGACGCATTGGATACACAACACCCTACTACTATGTGGGCTGGTATGAGTGTGGTGTGCCCATCCCAGGGAAATGGTAGCAGCCTGCTTTCCTGTCTTCGGTAGACCATGCTTTTCAAATAATTTCTGCCAGAGGACTGTGAGCAACTGATTTGGAAGAGGAAAAAAAAACATAAATGGGGAAAACCAGTGAAGACCAGCTGCTCAAGAAACCCTCTTGAAGACAAACATGGACACCTTTCACCAGCCTAAATCTGTGGTGCTACTTGATTTCTGCTTGGAAGCAGGGGTAGGATATAAGTTTGACGTCCTGCCTTCCTCTTCTGTGTCTTTAAGGCACAAAGAGAAGGTTGCAATGTGTGCAACCTGTGAAAATTAGAACTGTATTAGCTATGAAAATTTGGAAGTTTATTATATCTTAGAGGAACGACCTAAGCATGCTGTGCTTGCTTAATGGGATGCTAAACTGTCTTTTGCTGCCCGATGGGGCTCCCCTATGCAGTCATGCCATGTAACTGGCCACCCACCAAAGGCAGTATATTCTCCTGAAGACTCACCCTGTGGGTTCACCCACAGCTGGACTAATCACCAGGTCACAGTGTAAATTCACTTTGAGATATATCTGTATCTATATCTATATAAATACGGTACTGTACATCTGCAGAAATACTTCTTAGAGATGCTGAGGTCTTCTTGTTCATTAGATAAATATGTTTGGAATTTTTATGTAAAAGGTGCTGTTAATTCTTTGAAATATTACTATGCACAATATATTAACCGAGGAAAGAGATGTATTCTTCTTGTGAGTACTGTTGATGTAACATTTGAATTATTGATCAAGACCTGTGTCCCACTTCCTTGGCAACCTTTGGACTGGACATTCAATGGGATTCTATCCCTCTATCCATGTTAGAGTGGCAGTGTATAGTCCAGCAAAAACACATACACAGCAGCTCATCAGCATCAGTTAAGCTTTCTATCCTTTACTATTTAAAATTTTAGTGCAACTTCCTTCAATCCATTCTCATCTTATTTTGTATGTTATTTATTCCTTGTCAGTATCTTTCATGTTAATGTGCAGAGGCATAGGACGAGTAATTTGGATATTAGAAACTGCTTTTAACTTATTTGCTCTCCAAAAAGAAGCCCAAGCCACCAATACATGAATCAACTAGCAGGAAGCTCATTTTACCATGGGGACAAACTGGGATACACTTCTTTTTAAATACTACCAACATCTCTTCCAAGCAGCCCAGAAAGCAGAAAGTGACATGAATGAAAAATATAATGATCATTTTTTCAGAAGGCATTTGGAAGCTTGCAATAATATTTCATGGTAACACCTCAACAGCCTTTGCTCATGTTAGTAAGACTCATCTGTTCTGGCTGTCTAGGGGAGTAGCAGTAACCTGGAGGACAGATCCAGTCTCTGGACCATCTTTCACTCTTGTTCCAGCTTACATGTAGTGTAGGTCTAACACTTCTTGAGTTGCTTCCTGTAGTTATTTTAAATTGTATGGGGCCAAAAAAGGGAATTAAAGTAATTAAATGAGCGTTTTCTTTTTTATGGAGATTTGGGTTTTAACATTTTCATTTTTCTCACATATTTTTGCTTCAGGACAGTGCCAAATATATGGTCTTGAAGTATAACTTTTTTCCCTAATAAACCTATGATACATGGTTCCATTCCTATTTCATCCTTTCTGGTCATCTGTGTCAAGTAATCTAAGTGACACACAGTCAGCTTTCTGAAAGTCTCCCTTGGGACAGGACTAAGTGTCAACTTTTTGTAGGAGACTGGAAGCATGTGAATGTGTTGCTCTTTCAAAGATGGTTAGCAGCTAGTGTGGAGTTACCAAGGGCAAATCATGTCTGACCAGCCTGATCATTGTCTTCATTGAAATGACTGCTGCTGTGCACTGGGGAGAAAAGGGAATGTCACTGGCCTCCATAAAGCACTTGGCATGGCCTCCCACTGTCTGCTTGTAGTGAAACTGGTGGAATATGGCTTGGGGAGTTGGTCTTTAAGGTGGATGTGAAATGAACTGTGTTGTGAGGCTCAAAAGGTTGTGATCAAAAATAGCACAAAGTCCAAATGACAGCTGGTTGCAAGCACCATCCTCAGGGGCAAGTACTAGGTGCAGTATGGTCTAATGATCTGGACAGTGGGATGGAGTGCATGGATGGAGTACACCATCAGCAAACATGTTACTGATACTAAACTGGGGCTGGGGAGTGGTTTATGTGCTGAGAGCTCCTCAAAAGAGGGATTTCTATGGCCTGGAGAAATGAGATGTCAGGAAACTCATGAAGTTTGGCAAAGGGAAGTGAAAAGTCCCATATGTTGGTCCTTGTGGCAATACAGGCTGGGATGACTGTCCAGAGAGCAGCCCTGCAGAAGAGCTGCATTATACCTTCAGATAAATTCTGATTTGTTCATCTGAGGAGACATAGTTCCTTCATTTCCTGCTGGAAATACCTTTGGGGTGGGACAGTCCTGTTCAGAGATGTCACTAGGGATAAAGATCTGAGACAGCTGTTTTTTCTGAAGCCTCAGCTGAGGAGGAACTGAGCAGTGCTGGGGTAGGGGTGGAGGGCACTGTGCACTCTTTCCCTCCAGTGTGATTCTCCTCTGAGGCTAAACCAACCAGGGCAGAGTTAGCAGTAGGATACAGCATGGAAACACGTGAAGTACAATGGTATGCAGTCTGTTGCCTTCACTTTGAGGTCTGGACAAGTCCTCTGTGCTGTACGAGGTGATCTGGTTGACACATTTGCATCCTTTTCCCTGTGTGTAGGGTAAACATATTATTGTGATACAAGGTAGTTTCTTGAAGAGATGATGCTGATCTTGCTCTCCGTTCATCTAAGAGGTGGTGGGATTCCAGAGGTGACTAAAAGCCGTGTGGGTCAGGAAAGCCATGTCCCAATCCAGATCCTTTCTCTAAGGCTCTGCCAGTGTCCTGAACAACAGGCAAACCTCCCTTTTCCTTCCCTACTTCCCTGCTGTCCCCATGACACCCTGGTCCTGCCATGCCAGCATAGGAGAAGCAGCACACCCGCTTGGGAGCTAAACTGCCTCTCAATTGAAGTAGCTGTACAGCTTTGTCGCTGCCCTGCATATCAGGGAGTACCATCCAACTTTGAGTAGTGCTAATGGGAGAGGAATGGGTCTTTTCCTCTCTCAGCTCTCCTCCCATGCCCTTCTTAATGGCAACACCACATCTGCATCTGGTTTTCAAGCTCTTGGCGCCAGCTCAGAGAATGCCATGTCCCTTCAGAGGCTCTGAGGGGTGTTGCACCACCCTTGCTTTCTTGTCTAAGTGACCTTGAGGGAACAGGATGGAGGAGAAGGCGGATCCCCACAGAGAGAAAATTCACACAGCTTGGGTCTGCATCGCCTCCGGTCCAAGTCTCTCAGGGGTGGAGGGATGCCAGGGTCCTGCCTAGTGGGGAATTGTAGAGTTGAAAAAGAAAAGCATAAAAACACAACAGAGGAAGGGGTGGGGAGGAAAAGACAAGCAAGCTGCTTCAAGCATTGTCTGGCCTGGTCAGTTCCAGATGCTAATCTCTGATCACTGTTCCATATTTTTGTGAGAATTTGGATTAGTGCCTCAAAGGCAGCAGGAACAATTGCCAACATGTGACAAATGCCAAGGGTTCTCAGGGGCAGCCAAAGCCCTGCATGTGGACCCAGCATGTGAACAGAGGAACTCTTTGGTGATGAAGGAAGCACTGAGTGTCACTTGGAAAGATGATAGAAGGCCTTTGTGGGAGGTGACCCAATCCTCTGAGCAATGTGAAATGATCCTTGCAGTTCCTCTCTATGAGGAACTATACAGTTTTCTGTCTGCAGAACCCATGTCCTCTTTTCCTACCAGGCAGATAGATGTTATTCGAGTGAAGAGCTGTCTTCCTCTGGCAGAAGAGAGGGAGGTAAAGGCAGAAGGGAATGAGGTCAATGTGGCAGTAGCCCAGCTCTGCTTCCTAAGGCAAAACTGGCATCCATGGATGTTTAAAGTCCCACCCACAGAGCCCTGCCAGCCTGCCTGAGGGCCCCTAGCTGGTAACATTTGAAAACAAAGCCATGACTTGTACTGCTGCTCCCTTTCTCATCACGCTTGTGTGTCCCATTAAGGAGGAAGCACTCCCACAGGACTTCTGCCACATCACCCTGCCAACTGCATCACAACAGTCAGTGAAATGTATAACCCTGGCGAGAATGAGCACTCGGAGAGAAAAACACCGGAATTGTGTCTGAGTGCAAAAATCCTGGTGTCAGCACTGGCAAGTCAAGTGTCAAAGGCAGCAGCTTGGGGGCCAGGTCCTCAGGTACCATCAGTTGCCATAGTTCCTCAGGGCCAGTTGTGTCACCAGTGCCAGTGTCACTCAGCTCCAAACATGGCCTGACTAGCAGAAGAGCTGGAGAACCTACACTTGTCATATGGCAAGGAAGCACATATTTTGTGTTAGTGAAGCTGAGCCACAGGCTGAGCTGCATGAGCAAGGACACCATCAGTGGGCTCAGGGATGTACTTCTCTCTTCAGTAGAGGAGAGCCTGCACATGGAGTATCTTCTGTCCTCCTGTACAGGGCCAGCTGGAGAACATCAACGAGAGGATGACCATGATGGTTAGGGGACTGGTGCAGAGGACGTACAGGGAAAGGCTGAGTGCTGTGTTTGTTCAGACTTGGGAAGGGAAGGCTTGATTTGATTATCTCAGATTGCCTAATGGAATCATAAAGAAGACAAACCCACATTTTTGTGAGCAATACACTGAAAGGCTGAAGGGCAATGGACACAGACTGCAACATGAGGAATTCCAAGAAATATTAAGAAAATGTGTGTATCATCAAACTTATCAAATACAGGGACAGCAGCCCAGAAAGGCAGGGAAAACTTCATCCCTGAAGGTGCTTATAACTGGCCTGGACAGGTCCATGAGTAACCCGATCTAGTTTTGATGCTGGCCTTGCTTTGAAGTTCAAGTGTGTTGGATCTGATTTTCAAAGCTTCCTCCAACCTGGAGAATTTAAGTGTATGAATGATGCCAACCACTGTATTATGCAGCCAGACAAAACCAGAACCAAAATTCACAAAAAACAAAGTTCAATCTCCACACATTTTCCACAGTGGATTTATTTATTGGACAAAAATAATCATAAATTCA